CGTTCATCCTAGATGCAGACCATATACTATGATATCCAACAACTTTCCAATCACCATACTCTCCACTCCTCTTCTCAGCTTTCAATACCAAACGGCACTTTAATTCCATGCCGCCGGGCGATCTGGCCAAAACCCGCTCCTCCAGAACTATCCATGACCGGCAGCTTAAAACTGGCTATCCCTCCCTAATCCCTTTCTTCCTGCTACAAACATCCACAATCCCAATTCATCAAGATAAAACTTAACAGACCATAAAAGTTGAGAAAAAAAATTCAGCCACGCTCTGAATCACCCTCCACTCGCTCCACAAATGCCCATGCATGAGCAAATGTGGAAAGAGAGAGAGAGAGAGAGAGAGAGAGAGATCTAATTCATCATAGTATAACATTGAAAGTAAATGAAGTTGACCCCTGAAGTCATGATCCTTTTACCTCAAGTTAAAATGGACTATTTCACAGCCTGGTAATAAATAACAACATTAGAATCACACTAGAAATGATGATGAAATCATGTGGTGAAAATGAAACCTGTTTCTCAAGCCACCAGCACTTCCTGAGGCTTTAGTCAGAAGCATTTCAGAACTTCCTGTGAGTGAAGTGCAACGTGTGAGGTTTGAATTATGCAAATCATCATATTATAAACAGTCTGGACTGATACAGTATTAGTGGTGTGCACAGTTACAGCAGTTAGGAGTGTAAACCAAATAAATAAATAAATATATATATATATATAATGGCAAGAAAAAGGATGTGAACCTTTGGGAATTTCATGGTTTTCTGAATTAATTTGTCATAAAATGTGATCTGATCTTCATCTAAGTCAGGGGTAGTGACAAATATAATGTGTCTAAAATAATAACACAGAAACAATTCTGATCTTTCATGTGTTTATTGAGAACAACCAAAAAAAACCTTATAGTGCTTCTGGAGAAAGTATGTGGACCCTTGAGTTAATGACCTCAAAAATGCTAATTGGAGTCAGGTTTTAGCAAACTTGGAGTCTGGTTAAGAAAATGAGTTTGGAGGTGTGGACTACAGCTACTTTGACTGATTAAAAACCCCTCAAACTTTTGGAGTTTGCTCTGCACAAGAAGCACACGCTTATGTGAGCCATGCCTCGCCAAAAAGAGCTTTCAGAGGATCTACGATCAAGAATAGTTGATTTACATAAAACTGGCAAGGGTTACAAAGTGATTACAAAGACTTTAGAAATTCACCAGTCTACAGTTAGGCAAACATTCTACAAATGGAGACACTTTGGGACTGTTGGTACTCTACTCAAGAAGTGGACACCTAGTCAAAATAACACCAAGAGCACAACGAAGACTCATCAATGAGGTAAAGAAACAACCCTAATCATGATTTGGGCCTGCTTTGCTGCATCAGGGCCGGGCCAGCTTGCAATCATTGAGGGGAAGATGAATTCCCAAGTATATCAGACAATTCTTCAGGATGATGTGAGAATGTCTGTACGTCTGCTGAAACTGTGTAGAAGTTGGGTGATGTAACATAACAACGACCCAAAACACCGGAGCACATCCACAACAGAATGGCTTCAGAAAAACAAAATCCGCTTTTTGGAGTTTTTTTTTGTAACTTCATCTACAACTCCAATTCCAAAAAAGTTGGGACGGTGTGTAAAATGTAAATAAAACCCATATGTTAAACACAACAGAACAAAGAAAACAAATCAAATATTTAAACTGCGGAAATGTACTATTTTAAGAAAAGAAATGAGGTCATTTTAAATTTGGATTTGGCCACAACCCGTGTCAAAAATGTTCCTCCAGCTGTTTCTTTTTACAAACACGTACTTTTCCATTCTTTTCTTGCCCCTGTCCCAACTTTTCCGGGACGTGTTCCGTCTCATTTGATGTTGATGTTTTCAGTGTTCTATTATGTATCACATATGCGTCCATGAGATTTGCAAATCGTTGCATTCTGTTTTTATTTAAATTTATTTACAATTTACACAGTGTCCCAACTTTTTGGGAATTGGGGTTGTACATAAATTATTCAAGTAGACGAAACATTAGAGACTGTTGGAATGACTCGCTTGAAGTAAACTCTACCTGATATAATGGGGAGGCAATGATTAAATGTTACTAAAAATATAGATGTGCGTGCTTACAAATTATAATCCTGCAACCACTTGACATTAAGTATGAAATATTAAGAATAGATTATCTTTCCATCTATAAGCGGTGAAATATTTTGAGATGTAATTTGTGTTTCCTTAGTAACAGCTCCTTTCTGAGAAGAAACATTTCTGAGAAGTCATCCAATGTTTACTGGCATGATTGCAATATAAATGCTCAACTCTACTCAGACTTCAATTTCTTTTTTGGACTTTGTTGCCAGATATCTGGAGTGGTCCTGAGTACTAATTCCTGGTCCTCTTAAAAACACTGGTCTGGGGTTTGCTTCAACCGAACCATGTGATGCCGGAGAAAGAGTTGTTATAGATATTCATATATAAGATCAGACTTTAATAATACTGTAATTAATTCAGTTTTGTGGTACGAGTGCTTGAACCGAGAGCTTTGCAAATAACGCACGTCTTGTTCTTGCCTACGTGGGTAAGCAATGTTTGGTTTGGTTTTTTTTATATGAAATCAGCTCCTCGTTCGCAGGTATTAGTACACGGTGACATCCAAAAAGCATCGCTCTTTGCCGCTTGAGTCTTGGCATCACAAGAAAAATAAAATCAACATCTGCAAAGAGATGAAACAAGTGGCTACTATTTTGACATAAAATTGCGAATTGCGAATTCGTTGTACAGTTAAGAAGAAATTCTTCAATGTAACGCAAACCTATGATAATAAGCCCCGCCCCCAGACTTTTGGACCAAGTGTGAAAACCTATAGACAGTCAGCAGATAGATTTAGCTAGGCTAGAAAAAAAATGGCTAGTTATCTGTAGACATGATATTCATTCAAGGTCTGATCAGTTACACAATTAAACCTACACAAGTTTTTCTTCACAGCAATTTCAATGTTTCAGTCAACAGCTGGTGTTGTTCTGCTTGGCCGACCCATTCGGTGTCTGTTGCTATGACACTAATAAGTGTCTATTGCTAATAAGCTAATAATGTCCAATGCTTGTGCAATGCCTCTGATTGATTTTCCCTCTTCTCTCATCTTAAAAATGGCTTCATCTTCTCCCATAGTCAGCTCTCTGATCATCATGTTGGTTTATCCTTTTTTAACAACAAACGCAAACGTCTTTACAGGTCAAACTGAAAGCTAAAACCTCGAGTAGATGTTCAGAGCTATTTATTGTTTAAACACTCAATCTAACAGGACACACCTGGGTAACAAAAAACACCCGTCATGGGTGTTGAACTACAAGTTTCAATATTTTTTTGCTTGTCTACAAATTTGGGTCGTCTGATGCAAAATGTCCTACGTTCTGTATCGTTTAACACAGCGGCAAACAAATACCAGGATGTAAAAGCCGAAATCCTGAACTCTCTTCTCATATTCATCTTTTGATCTCAAACCCAGATGTCTTCAGTCTACAGCAAAAACTATTTCATTGGCCTTGCCGTTCCAATAGTTTTGGAGGGAACTGTATATTAGATTTAATATTATGTTCAGCTACCATGGCCAAAAAAACGGCGTATTCTTCCATTGCATTCCATTTATACACACTTCAACATGCGTACACAGACCATCTCCCACCTGACCTACACACCACACACACACACACACACACACACAAAGCAGTCTAATTGTAGATGATCCACACACACTCAATAGTTGGAAAGAGAATAAGGATGGTGTGTGTGCGGTTGATAAGGTCTCCAGCGTGCCAATATTAACACTGAAAGCTGAGAAACAATGTTTGTGTTGCATGAGAAAAAAAAAAGAAAAAAAAAAAAGAGAAGAACGACAAGAAAGGAAGTGAGAGCAAATATCTCCAGACTGGTAGGACTAGTTTGTGGCATGGCATGTTAAGAGGCTTGGCAGGCACACCCAGTAGTTCTGTTCCTGCTTTGTGTGTGTGTGGGTGTGTGTGGGTGTGTGTGAGTGTGTGTGAGTCTGCTAAAGAAGAGGACATGGCTGGCTCGGACCGAGAGGTATGACACAATCTGTAATCTTCAACATGCCAGACAAAGATGATGTGTATTTGTATTTGTATGTATTTGAATGTGTGTGTGTGTGTGTGTGTGTGTGTGTGTGTGTGTGTGTGTGTGTGTGTGTGTGTGTGTGTGTGTGTGTGTGTGTGTGTTGATCCGAAAGGTGAACTTCATGTGCAGTGGTTTAGTGGTTAGAGCCTCTGTCCGTGTACAGTATATCAGCGGCAGGGACGTCGGTTGGAAGTTGAATCCCACAGGAACGCCTTCAATGAATTGGCTTTAATGATGCTTTAGAGGAAAGAACGCTCCTGGACGCGAGGTTATTTGGTTATTTCAGCAAAACTGAAACCGTTCCACTGTATCAGCAGCATCGTAAGCGTTTACTAATAACAGCGTTGTCATGGTGCAGAAATGCTACCTTCACGACTGACTGCGTTACGCAATACTCCACAGGGCAATAGAAAAACTTAACCCACTCTCGGACTCACTCATGTGGGAGGCTGCTCAGTGTGTGTGTGTGTGTGTGTGTGTGTGAGAGAGAGAGAGAGAGAGTTCCTCATGGCTATTTACCACTGAAGAACTCAGCCCACGCTTGAAGACGATGTAAATACAGGGAGTGTAAATGAATGCTCCACGTCTCAAGCCCTGACATGAACTGCAGAAGCTCTTAGTATGTCTCAGGTAACTTTATGCTAAATCCTGGAGGTGGAAATATTGAATTACTTTATTTGGTAGTATTTTATACTAGTCATTTATATGCCACTTTACCGGAGCGGACGGTTTTATTGCTTGTGCTTTATCGTACTTATTAAGGATTATTTATTTTAATGTACACTCGTGTTTGTACTCCATTTAATATGGAGTATAGAGATATAGAGTATGGCAAAAAATTTTAAATAAATAAAAATGTCATGGTAGGTGCACGGTGGCTTAGTGGTTAGCACTTTCGCCTCCGACATCCAGGGTCGGGGGTTCGATTCCCACCATGTCCCCGTGTGTGTGGAGTTTGCATGTTCTCCCCGTGCTGCGGGGTTTTCCTCCGGGTACTCCGGTTTCCTCCCCCAGTCCAAACACATGCATGGTAGTCTGATTGGCGTGTCTAATGTGTCCGTAGTGTATGAATGGGTGTGTGAGTGTGTATGTGATTGTGCCCTGTGATGGACGGGTACCCTGTCCAGGGTGTACCCCGCCTTGTGTCCGATGCTCCCTGGGATAGACTCCAGGTTCCCTGTGACCCTGAATAAGGAGTAAGCGGTAGAAGACCATTCAGTACAGTGAATTGCAGTCATACAATTTAGCAAAAGTGTATTCGCATTTAATAAAGTGCCCTTTTAGAGTTCTGATATAATCTGATTGAGAGATTTGGTTAATATTTTCCTTATTTATTTGCTAATATCGGATAAACGATCGTAAATTAGCACCCGATCCATTTTATGTGCAGTGCGTTTTTCTGGATGTTTTGATGTCAGGCAAGAATGTTCATTTGAGTGCATCACTAATCGCGCCGTACAGGATTTTGCAGAGTTTTTTTTTTTTTGCGATTGTTGCGGCCATTTAAAAAAAAAAAAACCCTCGATTTTGCCACGGCTCTCGTCAAAATGTGAGAACTACTCGAATTGACGACAAAAAGCAACTGCACAACATCGTCTTTCATGGTGATGCTCGTTGGTAAATGAGATCTTTTAGCTCCACTCATGTTCGCCACGCGCGAACGTACGTTGTGATGATGTCACACGACGAGTCTTGGCCCAAACCTGCAGAACGTCTGCAGGAATTCTGAAAAACGACACTCCTGCGAATGTTGCGGTGTTTCTTTGATTTTGTGTCCATTTCCGTGATCGTAAAATAATGGAGAACCTGACTAATAAGCGTGTCGGATCAGTGTATCGCTATAGGCTTGGATAAGTTTACTCAGGACATTTGAATTGAGACCTATTGCTTGCTATTCTTCTTCTTCTTCTTCTTCTTCTTCTTCTTCTTCTTCTCATATTATTACATCATGCGAACCTTGATTACATAAAGCTATTGTATTATATCCGATTATGTAATCATATATGTATTTGTATGCAGTTTGCATAGCAATAGAAGTTTGTTGTGTGTTTTTAGGCATCCCTGCAGTAAGTCCCTCAGTGTAAGTGTGGTTAATCAGCTGTGGTGCAGCCACCGAGTCCGCAGGGTGCATGTAGAGATAAGGAGACTCGGCACATAGATCCCTATGTAACGTTAATGCTATTGTTTCTCAGACTTTCTGAGAGCTTCACCCTTCTGTCTGACGAGTTTAATATCTGCCTCTTTTCTTGATCTCTGAGTTACGGTAGTTGGATAAAATCTCCAAGGTGATTCAGGCAGCTGTGGTGTCTCGCAGGTCTTGATTTGTTGAGTTAGTAAGCTGGAGGGAGTGAATTATTAACCAGGTCACATTTTCCTCCCAACCCCTGACACCCGTTGGATTTTTCTTTTATGTTTGTATGAGCATCTTTAAGAACCCAAGAACATTTCTGCTATATTGGTCGAATGGGAGTGTTGCATTTAGAGTACATCCGTTCTTTGCTAATTGTTCACTTGTGTTAGCTATACTACATTTTCCACGCAACGCACTGCATGCCTTGTATATATACCGATTTTGAAGTTTATGTAACATCCTGGTTTAACATGATAGGGGCAGATTTATGTAATAATAGTGGATCTAGAACATCTTCATTAACGGACAGCTCTACAAAGTGGTCGGGGGGTCTTGGATCACTTCATAGGGATGGTAGGAGTTTCGAGGTGGATCTACAGTATGTGACAGCAAGAGATCTAGACAGACCAGAAGTCCAAGTGCTTCAGTTAATACAGTAATATGGAATGCCATCATCTACAGCTAATAGTGTAATCACAATCAGTTCCAAATTGGGGAACTTATGTTAAGGTAAGGGTTTGCAAATCAGTGTATAATAAGACTAGAACTATGCATGTGCTAGTAGTGGTCTAGAATCGCTTCATAATCGAGTTACATCAGTGGTGTGGTAGGATGTGGAACATTTATGGAGTGGTAGAGGTTCCAGAAGCGCTTCCTGAAAGAGGTGGCTTTCTGCATAAGTCGGAGTCCAGAAATACTTCATAATAGGGGTGAACCTTTGGGGTGGTAGTAGTCTAGAATCAATTGTTAATGGGGATATATGGGGTAGTAGGAGTCTAGAATCACTGTATAAATGCGTTGGGATCTATTTACTGGTATGGGGTTCAGGATCATTTTGTAGCATCGGGTTGTATGCCATGTAGGGGCCCAGAAACACTTCATAATAGGGGTGAACTTTTGGGGAGGTAGGAGTCTAGAATCAATTCTTAATGTGAGATCTATGGGGTCCAGAAACACTTTATAATAGGGGCGAACCTTTGGGGAGGTAGGAGTCTAGAATCAATTCTTAATGTGAGATCGATGGGGTCCAGAAACACTTTATAATAGGGCAACCTTTGGGGAGGAGGAGCAATTAATGTGAGATCTATGGGGTCCAGAAACACTTTATAATAGGAACCTTTGGGGAGTAAGTTAGAACAATTTTAATGTGAATCGATGGGGTCCAGAAACACTTTATAATAGGGCGAACCTTGGGGAGGTAGGAGTCAGAATCAATTTTAATGTGAACTATGGGGTCCAGAAACACTTTATAAAGCGAACCTTTGGGGAGGTAGGAGTCTAGAATCAATTCTTAATGTGAGATCGATGGGGTCCAGAAACACTTTATAATAGGGGCGAACCTTTGGGGAGGTAGGAGTCTAGAATCAATTCTTAATGTGAGATCTATGGGGTCCAGAAACACTTTATAATAGGGGCGAACCTTTGGGGAGGTAGGAGTCTAGAATCAATTCTTAATGTGAGATCTATGGGGTCCAGAAACACTTTATAATAGGGGCGAACCTTTGGGGAGGTAGGAGTCTAGAATCAATTCTTAATGTGAGATCTATGGGGTCCAGAAACACTTTATAATAGGGGTGAATCTATTGGTTGCTAATGGGGTTTTGAATTACTTCAAAGTAGGAGCAGATCAATAGTGTGACGGGGGGCTAGAAAAAAAGTCCAGAATACTGTGATCATGTGGACAGATCGATGCAGTGGTCGGGGGTCCAGAGTCACTTCATGTTAGGGGTGGAACTATTCCGTGACAGGGGGGAGGGGAGTCCCCTTTGTAAAGTGTTTTTGCAATAAGAGCATTACCATAACACATACATTTGCCTTAGAAATACAGCATCTGGTGCAAACACAACAACAAAAAGCACGACTACAAGACAAACATTATATTTTTAAAATCATAGTTTCATGAAAGAACTCCCTTCCAAAACTCTTTGCCAACCCATTTAAAATTGTCTCGATCTACCACTGCTTCATGAGCTCATTTTTCCACAAGACTCTCTCACTCCCAAATCTGTATGTCATACGCACGTACATTAACAGGAAGTACATTTGTGTACATGTTTTGCATATTCTAATGCCTCTTTGTTTTCCGCTTTCAGTCTGCCGAGTTTTTCGACATGCTGGAGAGGATGCAGGTGAGATTGTGGTGATTATTTCAAGCTAATTAAGATCATTTGTGACACAATATGACGCTGCTACAACATGCGCTTCAGGTGGTATTTCTGCTTTACTTGGCTTTTAGCTCAAGTGTGTACATGAAGCCTGTCATTTTGAAAGAAGGCAATTTTGTCCTCCAGTGCTAGCAGAGTTGAAGTGGTTTATCCAGCTGGGCGATCAGCAGGGAGGCTATCCACACCAGCCTGATTGAATGATCTGCACAGGAAGCCTGAATATACCAGGTCTTTTAAAGCGCCATTGATCCGTCTAGTACTTTTCCCAGTGGTGGGTGTTTAGTTAGTGGTGTGATCTGGAAATCGGGGTTTTTTTTTAGCATGTGAACAAGGGTGACTCATTGACCTGACTATACACTACCAGACATGGGTTTGTATGCCGGGGGGGGGGATTGTTGAGGGCATGGTCGCCAATAGTCAGATCAATCAGATCGATATACAGAACACTCCTCTCAGCGAGGAGCTCAGCAAGGCTTGCTATCCTGTTCTGTGTACCATATGATAAACATATCGACCAGATGCAGATGTTCCAAGGCAAACATCTCTTGAGCGGATGATCGAAGAGCCTGAGCTCTTCGAAGTTAAAGCTGGGCGGATTCTTTGAAGGTTTGCAGCCACCCTGTTGGTCTTATGGCTGGTTCATGCTTTTTTCTGAAGGTGGTACAGATTGAAGCGGGTTGAAAAAGAGAATTTCTTGTCTGACGTACAGGTATAAAACAAAACGAAACCAACATCCTACTGTTCATATTATTAAAAAAAAAAAAGTCATAAATAATCCAGGCTTTTAGTTGTACATTTCAGGTCATTCTCGGAAACCCTCTAGATGTTCTGACGAAGCATGAACCAGGCTTTAATATCTAGTACTAGTAATTTCAAGAATTAGCATCAGGGTGATTCACGACAAAATAATAAACAAAGCATTGCTCAGACTTTTAAAATGACTTTCCCTGTTGCAAAAGGGGGGGGGGGATGCAGCATCTTCTCCTTCTTCCTCTCGAAACCAAAAACAAGAGAAAACAGAATGATTTTCAAAAGAAAAGGCACCCTTACAGTGTCCTGGTAACTATCATGTTTGTTATCAATAGGTACAAAGAAGCTGATAAAATGTTCAAGTATACGCAAGCGTAGCCGTTATATACACAATCCACAAAGCTAGCGCCATGTTGTATTTATACAAAGTTCAAAGACGTGCATGGAGCAAAGACTAAAGCTGGGATATATGAAAGCTGTTAACAGGACTGGCGTGATGGGCTCAAACATGCCACCACTGTCTGTCTTTTCTATTTATCTAAGGTGTTGATGTTATTCCCGGTCTGCCAAGCCTTGTGTTGGATCTTGTTTTCCGGAAACTCCTAAACATGTAGGGGAGAGAGAGAGAGAGAGAGAGAGAGAGAGAGAGAGAGAGAGAGGTGAAGAAAGTAAAAAA